TGGTTCATGGGGTCACGAAGAGTCGGACACGACTTAACGACTAAACAACAACAATGTTAAAAATAGAATTGGTTGAACCGTTTTGGAGGGGCCCTGGAACTATACCCAAAGCTTTCAGGAAATACATATGGCTCTTAATTATACAGGTCTACCATAAAACCAAAACGAAGAGTCGGACACGACTTAACGACTAAACAACAACAATGTTAAAAATAGAATTGGTTGAACCGTTTTGGAGGGGCCCTGGAACTATACCCAAAGCTTTCAGGAAATACATATGGCTCTTAATTATACAGGTCTACCATAAAACCAAAACCATATTCCTATGTTGTTTAATTATTTGTTAGATTTTTAAACAGCTTATCCACAATTGCCCTCTAGGTGGTGTTAAACATTGTCTGTTTTTACAGGGAAGCGGATTTTCTTCTGTGCCAGATTTTTGCTGGAGGGCTGATGATTATTCAAAGAGTGGTATTGAATTCACGCCCTGGTATGTTTCTACTTGTTGGAGAACACACTTGAGTTTGGTGTCTTTGTAGAACATTGTAAATGGGAAGAGAATAGGTATCAAAGAGAGGGATTTCTGGTATGCGCATCCAAAGGCTTGTGGGAGCCTGTTGTGCAAGTCTTCAACAAGACATTCTTAGCAGACATTTTCTAATTACAATTTATACAATTTACAATATATATAGCTGCCCATCTCACCAGCGAGCGACTCTGCAATTACAGATGCATTGGTGAGAATTTTTCACTTCTTGTATAAGAGCAAAAGTGTATAAGCAAATAACCTAAGTAAGATTACTGCTGTTTTTGAAGTATGATATGTGGAAGGGGCTGTAAGCAAGTCTGTATGTTATAAGCTGTGTATGTATTCATGACTCCTAGCAGTAGCTATAAGCAATATTAACTTTGAAATACGGACTTTGAGTTTGTTGTATTTGTGTATTTCCTTCTGGCCTCTTGTTAATTTCTGTTTCATCTTAGGTTTGTAAAGCAGCTGGCCATTCTTGCACTAAAACTGATGATATCTTTTTCCAGCTTTTTCACATTAAAATTGCTGTGCATCACAAACTACCTTATTAAGAATGAGGATATTTAAATATATATGTCATGTTGAAAATCAGCATGGCTGAAAGGAAGAAAGGCTATGGAGAAGAAATATAAAGAGGCTGGGAAGAATTTGTAAAGATCAGGATGGTGGCTGGCCCAAGATACATAGCTTCAAAGAAGATAATTCAGAAAGAAACTCATGCTTTTGTAAGAGATGTGAATCTTCAGAGGTCAGGTGTGATTGTTCAGAAATGCTGACCTAATTCCCACAATCTCAAGGGGAAGGAGAGACCAAGCTATTAAACCTGTAATCTGACTCATTCTAGGCATCAATGGAGTGCCAGTTGCAGAAAACTTCCGTGTGGAAGAAGCTATTCTCTCAGACAAAATTGCTGAGGGTCAGGTTCAAGTTCGTACACTTTATCTGTCCGTGGATCCCTATATGGTAAGTGAGTATAATAAGAATACAAGAATATTTGAAGAATATTTGGCCAGTTGTTTTGTCATGTGAACTGCAAATCATGTGTCACTGTGAAATAGTGATATATGGCTCTAGTACAGGGGAATATTTTGCTTTGCATAAATGGCTGTGACCACATATAGCACACATATTGCGAGATATTTGGCAAGTACTGGAGTTTTTGGTTTTCCTCCGAGGTGTTGATGCAGGTTGCTAATCTGAATATGGAAAGTATAGCAGCTGCTATAACTGGAATAGTTAATCACAACAGATCTCTGCATTTATGTAAACATCTATGGCATATATTCTTGGATTTTATTGTATTTAATAATTGTATTTTATATTTGCATTATTTATGTTTTTACTGATTTTAAATTGTTTTCTTGTGAACTGCCCAGAGTCCCTCCTTGTGGGGGAGTTGGGGTGGTGATATAAATTTGATACATATATAAATAAATAAATACATTGCTTCTGTTCTGAAAAAGTGTACAAATATTCTATATTGTAATTAAAAAATCAGCATTGGAATTTACTTCAATTATGTGAAGTAAACTTGGAGTTCTTGATGTAACAACGTCACTAATTACATCCATTTTCCAGGATTACATCAGAAACTTGTATTGCATAATTTGAGTTAATAATTGTCCCCAAGATGTAATCTGTAACTCAGAATAAGAAAAAGTAGATGATTTAGTGCATCAACCAACCTCCTAGTCTATCAGTAATAAACAGGAACCTTATGCTTCCTTCTTAAGCTTTTAAAGGATTTATTGTGTTATTTTACCATTTCCAAGGTTATGCTTTTAGTTGACTAGCATTGAAATCCTTATAGCTTCTTGTGTTGGCCAGCTACATGCATCCTGACAAAGAGAGAGAAAGAGGATTGTGCTATAAAGGATTCTCTCGCTACAAATAATTGTCTTTCAGCGGTGTCGTATGAATGAAGATGCTGGGTCTGATTACCTCCAGGCTTGGAAATTGTCTGAAGTTACTGATGGAGGTGGGATTGGTTGTGTGGAAGAAAGCAAAGATGTGCGTTTTGCTCCAGGAGACTTTGTGACTTCCTTTACCTGGCCATGGCAGACTAAAGCCATTTTAGATGGAAAGCAACTGGACAAGGTAGGATTCTGTCCCTGGTTTCCATTCCATTTGGAGAAAACAATATAGATGATGTACTGGGTAGATGAGTGTGCCTTGACCTCTAGCCATATGTGGGTAAAGACTATGGATATCCATGGGGAGGGGGTTGAATGGAGGCATGTCCATGACAATGTCACAGGAGCACTGCAGCTTATTTCCATCAAACATTGTCATTGACATCACTGTTGAAGAACAACCCCTGCCATTTTCTATCATCTGCACGGTTGCCTGTGGCAAAGCATCCAATTTAGTACCAGAAATGTGATTTTTATCTGAATACCAAAGGAACAGTGTTATACTTCAGATAATTTGTGTGTGTGTCTTCAGGTCAGTTTTTTGACTCCTGGCAACTGCCTGAACAAGTCCCTATAGTTTTCTTGGGCACATTTTCAGAAATGGTTTGCTGTTGCCTGATTCCTAGGGCTGAGAGAGAGTGACTGGTCCAAGGTCACCCAGCTAGCTTCATGCCTAAGGCAGGACTAGAACTCACAGTCTCCTGGTTTCTAGCCTCATGCCTTAACCACTACACCAAACTGGCTTTCTGATAATCTTAGGACCCCAAAACTTCAAAAAAGAAAAAAAATCTGCTAACCTTGAAACTTTTCAAAAGGATCCAGCCAAAGAATCTGAATGGATCTTGACTAGAGTGAACAGTGCTTAATGCAGTCTTTGAAACCTTTTGTTTTTGTTCAGATCGACCCATACCTTGTAGATGGGCACCTTTCCTATTTCCTGGGTGCTGCTGGCTTGACTGGGCTGACAGCTTTGCTGGGAATCAGAGAGAAAGGACATGTATCTCCAGGCTCTAATCAAACCTTGGTTGTCAGTGGAGCTGCTGGTGCTTGTGGCTCTCTGGCTGGGCAGGTAAGAAGCTTTAAAACCGGCCTTGCATCTTAAGGGTTGTTGTCGGAGATGAGATTCTTCTGCCTATGGGTTTCAAAATTAATATTATTTGGATGCATAGAAGCCACTGTGATGCTCTTCCCTATACCTCGGGAATGGGCAGACTCTGTCCCATGGGATATATACATCCATTACCCCCTTTGCAGCTTTTAAAGTGCCCCTAAAGTGGATTTGACTTGTTTGGGGGAAAGCTGGGGACATGGTTCAGAGGTACAAGAGTATCTTAAGCTTTGCAGAGGTAAAAGTACTCATTTTATCCTAACACCATCTTCAGCTCCACTCAACCCCCAGTCAAGCTAACGTTCCCTATTTGGGAAGACTTAGGGGCAAAATGGGTACAAGTCTTAAAACACCCCTTCAAAACTCTCCAAACCAAAAAAAAAGGCCTAAAGGTTTTGGCCCCATCCCCTCTGGTAACATCACGAAATCACCATCCACGCCCCCTGTGGTCCCTTTAAAAAAAAAAAAAAGGAGTGCCTTTGATCACAACATTTAAAAAATTGCCTCCCCCCATTTTGTCTTGCTTCCACCTCATATTCTATGTGGAACATGAAGAAAGCTTCTGTTAGCACCAACAGTCTCTTCTTGTTGCTGACAGATGTGGGGATGGCTGATTTCATCTGAGACTATGACAGAGAAGATCAATGGGTTAAAAAATCCTTTTCCCCATTCCATGATTGTTGTCCAGTTTGGCCCTCTCTCTCTATACTGGCTCTTTGTGCGAAAAGATACATATCATGATTATTTTGTAACTGATCGAAAAATAAAGATAAATTCAATATTTTAAAAAATCATTGTGCTGCAAGATAAGTTATTGCAAAAAGCTGACTTTTTGTAATGGTTTTCTGCCTTCAAAGATAGGTCTCCTGGAGGGCTGTTCTAAAGTAGTTGGTATTTGTGGCACAGATGAAAAATGCAAGGTTTTGGTCTCTGAAATGGGCTTTGATGCTGCAATCAACTATAAGAAAGAGAACGTGGCACAGCAGCTGCACAAACTTTGCCCAGATGGAGTGGATATATACTTTGACAATGTTGGTGGAGACATCAGTGATACAGTAATAAGTCAAGTGAGTGTACTGGGTCTCTTTTTTGATTCTGTTCAGGCATTTGTGTGAATGTATGGAGGAGTCAATGTGGGGAGAAAAAGTTACCCACACGCAGTCCCACTTCTGCTCACCACATTAAACTTGTTTTGGTTTTAACATGAGCACAGCTCTCCTCAGGACCCAGGACCCCAATATTGCAGGGTTCCAGATAGCTGGAAACTGGAGAAAGGACAGGGAGTATGTGCACAACCCTTTTCTCTCCCCATTTTGAGCTCCCCATTTTGTGCTGGCCCAGAATACAGTGGTGTGAGGGGTTATGGATGCATAATCAAAGGGTTACAAGGTTAGGCTGGCATAGCATTCAGATAATCAAATCACCAACATTTCTACACCGAGGTGTGGCTGCTCACCAAATCTGTCTGAACTACACTTAAGTACTGTAAGAGAGAATTAATTTTCCATTCAGAAAAGCTGAAATGGATTTGGACTCTTAATGCACTTTGTAATATAATTGTTCACCTAAAACCTGGCAGATATTTATGAGCAGCTAACCTGAGGTAACACCATTTTCTTTTCTAAACTATAAAGCAGTGTGGGGTCAAACATCTGTCAGAGTCTATGTTCCTGAAAACTCTGTTCAGTGTCTTCTTTTACAGTATTCCATCACATTTCTGGAGTTTTGCTATCCAAGAAACATACAATAGATTTATTACTTACATACTTTTAATTTTATGGTTCTTGCCAGCTCTGATTTCCATTGATAGCATCACCAAATGCCAGCCAATGAATTCAAAGATGTTTTCCATCAAGATTGCAATAGATTTCTTCTTTGCATTTTGTTTGGCTTGTATGACTAAAAGCTTTTTTCTTGAAGAATTTCTGTATTTAATTCACTTCTGTTCTCATCCAAATTAAGTTGTGCGGGTGGTATCTCCATCACATCACCTTCAGTATCTGAGGTATTCTTAAAAGCCTGGCTAAAGTGACAATGTGACACTTATGACTATGTTTGCAAGACACACTACACACAAAAACATTTTAGCCTAGTGTGTAACCTGAAGCCAGCCAGTGTGATTATTGCTTAGTGTGTCTAGTGAAACCAGAACAATTGGATTAATTTAGCAAACTGTATTTAAATTAATCATGGTAAAGATGTTGTGCATGCAGTCTTGGTTTCACTGCGGTGGCGTCTATAATAAACCACCATAACATAAAAGTGACACGTGTGTGATGATGTCATTACATACTGTAGATGCTGCAATTACACATTTGCATTATGACATCCAGTACAAGAACTAAGTTGTGGCATTTGTGTGATAACATCATGATGTAGGGGTCATCAGTTACCACCTTTTCCCACCCCACGGAGGCCCATGCAGTATACAGCAACAGAGATGAAGCATTTTTTTTTAATGCTTATTTTTCCTGTAGAAGAATAAATGAAACATATTACTGGTTGCTGCAGCAGAATGTGGACCAGACGAATGGGATGTTCTTCTGTTCTGTTTCAGTACACGTAATAAAAACACACTGTTCTTTTAACTGTTCCCTTAGTCAACCCCTTGCTGTTTAACATTCTATTGCAATTCTATTGCACAGTTTTCAAACTCTGCTTCCAAGGGATCCATGGTCCATGCTTTGGCCAACAGCAGCTGGTTATGATGAACTGTGAGGAAGAGGCCAGTGTAGATCAAAGCCTGCCCCCTCTTTTTGGAAAGTCTAGGCACTGATTCTTAGCATTAAGCTCCAGCTTGCAGAGAGGAGTAGGAGACCACTCAGGAAGATTTAGCAATGACCTTGTCCCATCACTACTTTGGTTTTTACATATACCAATCTATCTCATTTGGATGAAAATTGACAGAAGGCTGATTTGCTCCATCCATCATAGTCTCCTTTGCCTCCTTGCTCCAAGGACTTTTGATTATCTTAGAGATCCCATGTGTTTTTCTCTCTCTATTTACTCATAGCAGCTGTGGCTCCAGCATTCTCTCCACTAGTGCCCATCTGCAGAATGTAGTGTAACTTTTGATTCTCGCTGGAAATGAACTGTGGGAAGAAGGGGCTTTATTATTAGTGCAAACAAGAAATAGTTAGATATATTACTCTCTACCTAACAGACGCATCATCTAAGAGGTGTGTAAACAGGACTGTCATATTTGGATGATCCCTAGGTGGCAGCAAGGACCTAGAGATGTATGTTTCTTTGCTGCCACCTAGTTTTTGCAGGTCAGATATGGCAGGACTATGCTTGGGTAATATTTTGACATTTCGTATTTGTCCAGCTGGAGAAAAATCCTTACTTTTTTTTTTTAACGATAACTTAAAAATAATGAAATGTAGTGAGTAATGCAGTCTGAATTATTATCCAAAAGAATAAGTGAACAAAGGATGTGATCTCATAGCTTTGTTTCCTATATGTGTGTCCTGGAACACTTTCCAGGATTTTCTGTAACATGCAGAGAGGCTGGATTTTTGAGTATAGGTCTTAAGAATCAGAAATATGGAAGAAGTTTATTCTTATGAACTACCCCATCTCAGTTAGTTATAAGCTGAATGAGTAACTTTCCCATCCATAATGTTGTCTAAGAAAAATACTCTAAGAAATATAAACTACCATACCGTATCACTCTTCTTTGTCTACAACAGATGAATTCAAATAGCCATATTATTTTATGTGGTCAGATCTCCCAATATAACAAGGATATTTCTTACCCGCCTCCTTTACCTCCTGAGATAGAAGAAATAAAGGAATCGCGGAACATTACAAGGTATTCTTAATTGGCCTAGCCTCTATCTGACTGAAACACTGAATGAAATCTGCTGAAATATGTGATGAATGCTTTTTTTTTTAGTTCTAAAAATTGCCTTTCTAGATTGATGCACTGCTTTTATGAAACAAGGTCACTCAAATAATTACTAGAGTGGAACTTGGAGCCTTACAGAAACTGGCATCTCTGTCAGTGGGTTGTCAGTGACAAAGCTCCTTGATAAAAAAAACAAAATGGGAAAAATAATTTCCGTATACAGTATGCTGAGGGAAATTAGAGTTGGAACTACAGTAACAAATATGCAGCTAATATAAAACTGTCAGTGCATAAATGTGAAGTGCTTCCAGTAGCGCTCAATGTCTCAAATAATGATTTTGAGTCTTATTGACTAGAGAATGAGAAATAATTTTGTTCTTTATTTGTGCATATCAAAGCTTCATCTATTACCTGGAGAAGGTGAGGGCACATAACAGATATTGATGCAGAAATATGCTGGTCCATCCTTTCCCAATCTAGTGCTTTCCATATGAGTCCCTAGGAACTCCCCATTGTTCCTAGTAAGATTAGAACAGGAATACACATTACTCTATTACAGTGTTTCTCAACCTTGTCAGTTTGAAGGTGGGTGGACTTCATGCTGGGTGGGGGTTCTGGGAGTTGAAGTCCACCCACCTTCAAGTTGACAAGATTGATAAACATTGCTCTATTGCATCAGAAAGTCAGATACATCCTGTTTGGAGATGCGTGTTTTGGAGAAGGCAAAGGATGGGCACCACAAGTTATAGTAAAACACAAATTCTTGTGTTGGTTTTTGAATGGCACAGATATAAAAGTTCTAGGGTCTCCATATGCTAAAACAGAACTTCAGATGAACCATTTAAACTGTGAGACCAATTGGATTACCATTTCCTGACCCTTTAAACTAACTATGTTTGCTAGATTTGCCATTTCTATCTGCTGTAAGTAAGATAGAACATAGTTGCTCTTGTTTCCACCCATGACAAATTTTGTGGCTTTTGTAGTTTCTCTTTCCTGCAATCATTTCTTAACATTGGCTTTGATCTGCTGAAGCAACAATCTCTCCCATGTTTATTTTGCACTATAACCCATTGAATGGCATGTAAATATTTTTCTGTAAAGTGTGGTTACATTGGACTGGAAATTTAGTTATTGTCCTAAATGTAGAATTAGAATGGTAATAGTTCCCTTTTGCATATAAAACAATGAGAAAGGCATTTTGGAATGTTTTTACCATTTAACATTTGACTACTATGAGATATTGATTTCATTCTTCACAGAGAAAGATTCCTGGTTTTGAACTACATGGAGAAATATTCAGTTAGTACTCTGCAGCTTTGTCAGTGGATCAAAGAAGGAAAATTGAAGGTATTATAAAAATCAGTAGGTAAACTGCTCGTGGCTGCAAGCAATCATTTTCTTTCATTGACATTTTCTTTTCTTATTTGTTGTGGTCACTGTAGCTGAATGAATAACTCATTTCACCTTATCTACAATGAGTAGAGAAGCTTTTCAGAAATCATCCAATTAGGCATAACTATCCAAAGAATTGAGATTACAAGAATTTTGTTTTGATAATTCTCCACTGCATTGGAAACTGTTTTTAATGAAAGAAAAAAGATTAGATTACATCGAAAGGAAAAAAATAAACTTTTTACACTACTTTTCTCAAAAAACAGGTCAAGGAGACTGTGATGGAAGGCTTAGAAAACATCGGAGGTAAGAGACAGATTCTTTCTCCCAACTGTATGTCCTCAATTAAAATATAAGGAGATAGGGCACCGGAAGATCCCCGGGTTCATCTCTAGTTGCAAACGGCAAAATTGTCTGGCCTGAATCTGTAAGTGCCATTGCCATTCAGAGTTATGGAATGTTAAATTTATTTTTTAATTGATCTGTTTACATTTAAACTGAATGTTTTTAAAGGTTAAAACAGCTAAATTTAAATTCTACAAAACTAATAGTTCTTAAAATACTGTCTTACCATCTTTGAGCATTTTAGAAAATTTGAAAAAGCAACTGTTACATGCTTCTTGCACTATGCATTTACAAGTAATTGTCTGGCTTTATTTTTCAAAGCAAAATCTAAATATCCAGCAATGAATAAATGACTCTTTGTGGCAGAATTTCTAGGGAGATTTTTATGTTTTATTATGTTACATGTGAGTAGTCTAATTAATGTTTAATGTGTATAAATGAACTGGAAAGGTATATCCATAATTTCTCCTACAATCATTTGTTTTGGCATAAATTGTGATGAAAATGGTATTTTTAACAGCCATGCTGGTTGGGGAGTTAAAGTCCAACACATATGGAAGGCACCAGGTTTGGGAAGGCTGAGCAATCTAATTCTCACCACTATAGGCAGGGTTGGAGGAGCAAACTAAAAATTATTTAATGTGAGGGATTTGATTTGGCTGGCCTTGTACCAAATGTTTGGCTTTTGTTTTGAAAAGAGAAAGGACCTGTACTTTTAACAAAATGGAATTTAAATAATTGCATCCTACTAAGAAATTCATTACTGTTTTCCATCAGCATAAAAGGTAATTTCCCCTCTCCTAAGGGATTATTGCTAGCCAGTAGACAAGGGTTTTCAGTTCATCCTTTACCAATGTGTCAATTTCTCTTCAGTGAGACTTAAAACATTTAAAATGTTGATATCCCTTTTCATTTACTCAAGGCAGTTTATGTACAATAAACCCATATAAGTAAACACACAGACAAAATAATGATTCAGCACATTCCATCAAGTCTGCATCCAAAGACCACCTGAAATAGATTATTTTGGGCATCCAGAAAGGAGGATGAAATCTTAGCCTCCATAGATCACTTAAGAGCGTCAGGGCAATTGCAGCAACTGCTGATTTTACCTCATGTCATGACCTAATAAGGAGTTGGAACTGATCAGATGATCTTAAATGCCATGAGAGTTCAGAGGTGGAATATAAGCATATGCAGGGCCCATGGCTCTGGAGGCCTTTCAAGATAAGGAGTTATCTTGAATTTGGCCTGAGGGAACTGAGATGTTTGCTGTTGTCACACTTCTGAGGCTGTGTGAAAAGCCTGAAGGAAGAGGGGAGAAGGAATCAGAGGAACTATGTAAGTGCAAGGGGGAAAAGGGGCCAATATAGGAAGCCTGCCAAAGATATTGCCAAAGAAAAAAGAAGAAAAATGCTGATTTAAGAATTTAAAATTTTATTGGAAAAAAATGTCACCAAATCTGTAGTTGTTCTACAGGCAGACTCCTATGAACTATGCGTAGAGAGGGTGGATGTAGTCTACTATTGAGTAATCTGTGAGGAATGACAAGAAGAAGGAAACCAAAAATGTGCATGGGGGAGGGAGTACTCCAAAACCAAAAGCCTGCCTAAAGTAGAGGCTAGAAGTTATTAAATAGTTCTGAGCAATCAAGTGCTTGCATCGTCCTGATGTAAGAATTGCACAAGAGCTGGAAATGCAGAGTCAGCTGGTACAATTGCCACTGCTTCACTTCAGTCTGGATCAGTGGGGATCTGCCTGGGGCTAGCCTTTGAGCTAAAATTGCTCATGCAGCCACATGAAAAGAAAATACAGAGATTTAAAACTTGTACAGACACTAAGTGTTTATGAAAAAGTTTATTTAGACTTTTGTTTCATCACACCAAGGAGTCAGGGTGCAAAGGGAAGGAAGGTCTATGTGTGTGGTCCTACGTATATGCATACTTGTATATTGAAGCTAAAGCTGTGGTCCTGATTACAGCAAATCCCTGTTTTCTTGGTGACAATATAGAACTGGTTTCTCGCTGTCTACGTATAGGATTTGTTTAAAACTATCCAGTCTAATGCTGGCTGTGGAATTCTGGGAGTTGAAGTCCACACATCTTCAAACTGCCAAGGTTGAGAAACACTGCCATACACTGTCCTAGCTAGCTAATTCAAGGGCTTTGCTTCAAATTTGTCAGCCTGAATAAATACAGTAGATTTAACACTGTAGGTTGATTGTTGAAGGAAAAGTAATATTCTTTTGTACATTTAAGTCTATTCAAAAAGCTTTTGTATTTAATATATATATTAAAAAAAACACCAACATAAAGTACCCTCAACTTTTTTTTCCTCTTACAGCTGCTTTCCAGTCTATGATGAGTGGGGGCAACATTGGAAAACAGATAGTGCTTGTTTCCAAGTAAAAGCAATTTCTGGTTTTACTTGTGTTCACTAAGAAAAAAAAAATGTAATTTGTGTAAGTCTGGTATGATTTTATCCTTTGTATCTATATCCTTTTTTGCTGATTAGAGTTGTATACCTCTTTTGATTCTGTGCTTTTTCTTCCATCTCTTAGAAAAAAATATTTTTTTCAGTCAAAATGCCTTACCTAGACTTCAGTCTCAAGTATTCAAATACTACTACTGTGCCATTGCTGTAGTGTAATATAGACTGCATGGATATAATACAAAGCCAAGATTAATTTTAGATGTTTGGACAAATACCTTGCAAGCAAATTACTGTGGCTTATTTGGCCAATTTCTGCTTTAGTTTTCTTGGGCCTTTGTTAACATCTAGGGGACAATTTCCTAGTAACTCTAAAGTAGTATTTTTAGACATTTCCAGTAGACATAAATGCAAGCCATGGTTGAAGCAACTAGGATTTGGTAAAAACATGTTTTTAAATTAAGATTTCTCAAAATAAACCATGGCTTACTCCCTGGAACTGAGACATTCAAATAAACCAATTAGGCTTATACTGACTTATGTTCTCGTAGGTATAAACCAGACTATAATCACTACTGAAAATGAAACAATAATGGGAAATTTTTCTTGTATATTATACAACTATTAGATCTGTTTGTTAATGTAATTTTCTGGCCTGGCCCCCCTCCCATGATAGACTGTCCTTTCAGATACATTAATAGTGAATGAATGCTTCACTATTATATAATAAAATACATAAATAGTATATAATATAAATATACATCTATTTAGATTAGAATATTAAACCAGAGGAGGTATTTCCTAATTATATGAATGAGTCATAGAATGAAAAAGCCCTAGCGTACACTTTATGTGCAAGTGTTCCAGCTTCCAAAATCTGATGTAGCAGAGCGGCTATGACAATTAGCAACAAAGGAAGAAGCCCATATTCTGAATCCTCTTGTGATATTAAAAAAAAAACGCTACGAAAGCTTTTAATAATTTCTGAAACAAAAGTTTGCACCAAAAGCCCTGTTTCATACACTATATGTTCTTTCTGTGACTTCTTCAGTGTCAGGTGTACAAGAAAGCAGCCACACAAGGCATCTGCAGAAGCAGAATGTGAATGAAGTGCTTTGTCCCTTTTATTCCACTGGGATTTTTTTTAGCCTGCAATTCTTATATACTTACTTGAATAAGTCCTAGTGAATTCTACAGAAATTACTTTTAAGTAGACACGAGAATGATTGTACGTGTCAATGAAAATGTTAACTTTTTTAGATATAAGATGGGAACATGTTAGTAAATATAAGATTGGAATAAACAGTACACGAAAGCATTTTATTACAGCCGACAATGTGTGGAATTTGAAAAGATTTTGAAGAAAAATAGGAAGTAAAAGCACAATGTATATGCAGACACAGCCCATAAATACTATTAAACAAACAATAGGATATAAACCAGAAGCAGTATTTGAATCTTTGCAACATGTCCATTGGAAGAAAAAAAATGGGTGAGGCACATTCCTGTACAATAAATATACATAGTTCCACCCATATGAAGTGCAAGATATAGAGAGAGTCTTATAACTACATCTCTTGGATTATTTTCGGTAAACATACAAAAATGCTGTGACTTGACCCATCAGCCATATCCACCCTAGTCATCAGCTGTGAACCCTGGAAGCTGAAAAACATCCAGTCAACTACTGAGGTGACACAGAGTGAGTTGTGTTGCACATTAGAGACGAGACTTTTACAAGGTGTAGCCATTTTCAACAGGTATTCATTTCATATGTGCAGTTCTATACTTGAGTCATTTTCAAGCAAGCACAACATGCACTTAAGTAACTGTATTTTTCACATTCATTTTTTAACAAGATGCAACACATTCTATTCTGTTTACTGATTATCTCAGTTCCTGTATGACAAAAGTAAAGAACACTGTATATTTTAATCTTATTGTGATTTCACTCAGGGTAACAGCCATGAACCAAGAAAAATCAACAATATTCCACAGCAACTGGTTGCTAATAGGCAACATTGATCTGTTAAGTAATACATATAAAATGTTAATACTGGCAATAATCCAGAAAGCTTTACAAGGAATTATGTGTTTTTTAGTGGATTCCTATCTACCTGAAACTACTAGGGGAAGCCACTAGGAATTTGGAATAAAGCTATCTTCCACATGCAAGTCTGCAGAAGGCACAAGCCTTTTCATTTCCATCTCAATTTATATATCATACTAAGCCATGGCCTTTACATTTATAATTTGTTTAAGCATTGCTTATTGAAGAAAACACTATTCGTTAAGTTCACACAATACGCTAAACCAAAATCAAAGATTTTGATTTTAATTTAGTTTATAAGCCATATGGCCAAGTTTGCACAGCATATTCTGACTCTGAAGACAGATGGTGAGCAGAGAGGGGCTTTCTGAAGCACCGGCATGCCTTTCATCAACTCTGATTACAAGTCTTAATAGCCTCCTCCATTGCTGTCATTTGGGCATCACGTTAACCATCCTGAAATTTTTGACTGTTCTGTTCTATCTACTGTTAAAAATAATACCCAAAGCAATTGTATTATTTTTCCTTGTAATGAAATCTGTTGTAGTATAATATATATCAACAAATTTTTGAAGACTACAGAAAACCTTTTCTTGAAACACAGGATAGCTTGAAAAGCATGTTAAAAAATAGAGGCTGGAGTTGCAGAAATGTCTGTGTTTGAAAAAGAAGGTGGGCATAGGAGATATGACATGGCGTAACGGGCCTTCTGTTGTGGCTGAATAAGTTACTATTGGCCAAAGTGCAAGTATTCCATGTTTAGGTAAATCATCTCATAAATAAACACAAAAAAGTAGAAACAATTACAAAACATTACAATAGTTCATTCATAAATTTTCTTTAGCATTAAAACAGTATGAATTCAAAACCAGTGCCTATTCATAAATATAAGAAAGCGGTTCCTGAGGCAAGTAGTATAACTTCTTTATAAAAGTCCTATTATAGAGCAGCACAGAAGAAGTTTCATGGCAGTCCTGAACCTTCATAATCAATTGTCTACGCAGCCAGAACATTACACATACAAACCTGAAGTAGTTCACAGTGTTGCCACTTAACAGTTTAAGTTAATATGTACTTTAAGCTCCTGAAAAAAGGAACCATTAGGAAGTCTGGTAGTGCTTCATATCTACAATAAAGGTTCTCAGCACAATAGATTCCATTGCCCAAATTCTGTAGACCAGAAAAAGGGTTAGCCCAACAACCCAAGTTCTCAATGGAGAGAGAAAAAAAGAAAGAGTTCCATATGTCTTCAGCAGGAAGTAGCAGGAAAAGACTTGCCAGAAAAAGAGAAGTGACATGATTAAATGGATAGGCACAGTCCAATATGGTTTGATATGATGCAGATGAGAACGAAAACAGTGGCCTTGGCAACGGAGCAACAGACACCAACATGTGTAAACCATCAGTGGTAGGTTGAAAAACAACACCTGTGAAACAGTAAAAACAAAAATTCTCAGGGCATATTCAGAATGCAGAAAATAACAAAAATACATAAAATTGCTCCAAGCACATGGTACATGAAATCATAAACAGAATGCGCATTCTGTTGGTAGATCTGTAATGGTATGTGGGAATGGCATACAATTCAATAAACAATAAAGTAGAATTAGCTCATCTGGCCGTGTTTCCTGTCTGGTCTACTTTGCGTGGCTGACAAGATCTGAGCCTCTATAGCTAGGTTTCATCTAGTGATAGCTGGTAACTAAGAAAACTAGCAAATGTGGCAATAGATAGAAATTGTTCCTGTCCATACGAAAATTCAAAATGTCTGCTCTCTTCTGACAATGCTTTTAAAACACTGCCCTACCTAATTTTTATCCTTCAGTTTTGCACAGTATTCGTGAGCCTCAGAATCTTGCAACTGGGACAAAGTTGAGTCCGCAATCTTGCAATAAGCTGAGAAGCATCAACTTTTTTTTAAAGTAAAATACATCCTTGCATATTAAAGAGATAATATATGTTACACACTTGAGTGGAAGAAGAAATCATTCACTTTGTAACAGGTGTTGATTTTACATACTTTGGAAACCATTGATCGCATGTTAAGAAAGAATTGATAAATGTATTGCCAAATGTTGGGGAGCTACAGAAATATACTTGTGAAAGACAAGCTAATTCATATTTCTAATCAGGAAGTTCTGTTGATCACTACAAATAGACAGAGGGTACTGTGGGCAGGGGGAAAAAGAGAATTGCCATTCTGGTCAGACCTCTGTTCTATCAGGTGCCCATGGCAGGTAACTATAGCCTACATCAGTGTTTTTCAAACTTGACAACTTTAAGATGTGTGGACTTCTGGCTGTGGAATTCTGGGAGTTGAAATCCACACATCTTAAAGTTGCCAAGTTTGAAAAACACTGGCCTACAATGAACTTTTAAACAATCAAAGCAATGAGCTTATGGCTGTCCCGGAGTCAAGTAAAAACTACAGTTACAAAAGGTTTCTCCAGTTGGTAAATATAGAAACTTGGCTTAACGTACAGAAATACGGGACAATTTATAAATAGATCTTTTGCAGTATCAAGAGAACCTCAAGTTAATGAGATAAAGTGGGAAAAGCAGGTCTGGCCTCAAGCAAATATACTTTGGTAATATTCAAAGTAGATTACTATAAAGGGCTCTGTGTGGAACTGCCCCTGAGAAATGTTCAAAAATTTCATTTTGTGCAAAGCTGCAACAACCAGGCCCGTTTTACATAATTTATTATTTTGTCTTAAGTGAGCTACAGTGATTGATTTGTGGGTAGGTTTTAAAGTGCAGAAGATTATCTATAAAATCCTGTATGGACTGGGGCCAAATTATTTGAAGGAGTGCTGCCTTTCTCAGGACTACAAAAAGCACAGCCTGGAAAGGGGTGAGGCCCCAAACCATTCCCTCCCACTTCCACTCACTGGCCCCCTCTGCCGTTTCCCTGCCACTGGTCCTCCTGCGCCTCCTTGACAAAATTCTCTTCCCCCTCCTGCTCTGTACCGTGCTTGCCGAGGCACATCTGCCCTGCCTTTGACAAACACAGGACTCTCACTTGCCTTCAGAAGTGGGTTAGCAGGGGACACAGGAAGGGGCCTTTGTCAGAAGTAGCAAGGCTTACAGCAACAGCCTTCCTTGATAGGTGTATTGGCTTCCTCTTTTAACAGATCAGTGAATTGCCAAAATGTTTTTATTTTGCCCAGTATTTGTTTTTCTCAGTCATGCTGCAAGTATTTGTAATATAGGTCTAGTTTTTAACACTCAGTTCTTTTGTTTGTCATTATGGCTTTTGTGTGATTTTGCTGTAAATAAATAAATTGTAAGGTGTCACGGGGAACCTTGTAGTCAAAAGGCAAGAGAGGGAGGGAGAGAGATCTTCTCAATAAATACATACCAACTCCAACATTATGCTATGGAATTAACAACTACTTTGAAAGTTAAATTTGTTCTGAAGAAAGCGTATACATCTGAACAGTCTACTAGATGTACTACTGGAAGCTTATTATATTTATATTAACAAGCAACACTGTCTTTAGGGTTTTTTTTTCATCTTATAACACATTTAACCGTTTGAAAAAAGGTCAGATAGAACATATTTGTCAAGCATGATACTGAGAGTCCTACCTGTGAAATTCCAACAAGGAAGGTTGAGCTGCCTTCAAAGAAATGGCCATTAATAATTAACCCAAAGGAGAAGCAGAGGCCAATATGACCCTCTATAAGCTCACCAATAAACCAGGGTCCTGGTAGGGGGAAAAAACTGTATTATATTAAGCAGATCTACAAGCATTAAATAAACCTTATTCCATTTTCCAGTTTGAAATCCTTGCTAGTAATCGCTAGCCAAAAAAAAAAGCCACACAGATAACAAACTCCTGTAAATAATGCCACCTGGTCAGTATAAGCTATTCAGTTAATTAATTCACATATCAAACTATCCCTTGGTTTCTTTTAACCATGGTTTGTTTTATAAGCCCCAATACCAAACTATGGTTTATAAGCCCCAATGGATTGGTTCATGCAACATGTTAAACCAGAAGCACACAAACCACATTAAGGATTATTGTGATGTGTGAATTTAGTGAGCAGAATTTTTAATGTTAGACATAAGGGATTCTAGATTTTTTTAAATTTTATTATTTCTTTGCCTTTCATAAGAAAAAGCAAAGTACAAATATTTTAAAATATAACTTACTCTCAAAATAGGCATTTTTGAAGAGATGCTTTGTTCCAATAAGTAGATAACTAGATTTGATAGGGAAATGTGAGTTTGGCCATCACTTCTGTCATAGACTCAGTGGCCAAATCAATAAAAAACAGTTGCATTACAAGCAGCGCATCATAAGGACTAAACAGTAATGTTGGAAAATACAAAGGGTGAAGATCTGAGCAGAATTATCAGGCACATCTTAATTTTGAGCAAGGATGGTGCTTTTTTATCAATGCAAGGCCTGATTATATGCTTCTCAATAACCCTACACGCAGGAATCCTTGGCAAGTCCCTGCACCCATAGCTCCCCAAATTTTTATTTTCCTTCTTTGGGATATAATGCTTAGGAAATTGTCTCATATGTATCAGTTAAGCATAAGGGCAGGCCTAGTCAGTTCTAGAATGGAGGGCCTTCAGAAAATTACAGGACTGTAGGCTACACTGAGAAGAAGGCAGGAGCAAACCATTTCTATACTGCAATCAAGAAAACGATCTACTGTATATGTTACATTATGTGTCCAATGAAGTTACCAGGAGGTGAGCTCTACTAGAAGCAGATTTTCCTGTTTTTCAAAAATGTGAAATCTATGAAGAATTTGGGTTTTTAAAATCTAAATTATACCAACACATGATTCAAGTGGTTACATTTGTAAAAATGCACTATTTTTTTCCCCTTAGAATGCTATTAAAAAGTTTTTAGTTAAAGTCTTTAGGAACTAATAAACTGCTTTTCATATTCTTTGTACCTTACCTAGAAGAGTATACAAACTCAGCACTAGAAATGAGTAGAAGAATAAGTCTGTTTTGCTCAGGACATGAAGAGAAAAAGAGGTTTGTACTGCCACACCCAGAGGTTCTAAAAAAAATAACATAATTTCAGTTAAAAAATATTGCTTGCTACAGTTAAAAACATACCAGATCACAATTTTAGAAAGTAATATATCATCAACAACTAGTGAAGAGTTGGACTAGAACTAATGTTCTAACTGTTCTAGAAGGTGTTGGACTAGAACTGGAGAGAACCTGGTTCAAGTCTACTCAGACACAAAAATTATGCAGGTGATTTTGGAGAAATCGCTCTCTCTCAGGTCAGTTAACCTTACAGGGTTATTATTGTGAGGAGGGAGTGCAACATAACATTGCAACATAACATTGAACTCCTGAAGGAAAGGTATGTATAAATCTAACAAATTGTAATAATAAAATAGAACTTCCTAAATATATTTGTCCAAATCAAGCCAAGATGTACAAGACAAAACCCTCTTAGGTTTTTGAAATATTTATATGTGAATACCAAAAACATATCACAAATATAAATAAGAGAAATCCTAATATTTAAAAATGAACATCTTCTATTCTGATACTGGATTCTAATAGCTACTTTCTGTGATTAAAAGCTAGCCCAACTCAAATGGTCTCACAAATCTTATTATCAATAAGATAAGAATATTCTTATTAGAAAACATCAGCCTATATGACAGAATATTCTAGCTATGAAATAGTCAGAGGATCTGTTGATGTTTATTTGTTTGTTTTATTAGATTAAGGTGCCACCAAAACAACTCTGAGTGGCTGTTCTTGGCACTTGATAGTAAATTTTAAAAATGGGATCATGATTCTTTCTAAGTATAGGTTTTCAAAAACTAAGTCTTTCTAAGTCAGCCTCCCTTAATCTGGTCCATTCCAGATGTACTGGACTACAATTGCAAGAATGATCAGATAGCAAGACCACTAACTCTACTGACCAGCAATTCTTGGATATCTCTGGAGAAGACCAGCAATCCAAAGTGTAATCAAGAAGCACAGAAGGGCAGTGCAAATTTTGGAGTAGTTATATAATATATTTGTAATATATACTTATTAACAACCATGTTTTAAAAACAGACCAAAATATTCTGAACCATCTGGAGTTTCCAGAAAATATTTATAATAAAATGTATACAAGTTCTGCATGATCTGAACATAAAACATTTTACTAAATGAAATTGGAAAAAAAGATTCTAAGCATGAGTACAAACTGAAAAGGATTTATTTTTATGGTTTATGGTTCAGATTTGGTTTGATGTCTTAGCCACCAAGCAAGAGTTATCACTGCTTCCAGAGATCTTCCTGGCAAGAATGAGCAGTATTACTTAATCAATGTCCCAAGAAAGCACTACTACTAACTCTTCATACAAAAATGTCACTGTTAATATCTTACCAAAAAATTCTATTAACTGTAATAAATCTTAATGCTTGATAAAAAAAAAAGCATTCAACAAAGATCACAGCCAATAATTCCTCAAATAGGATAAGGAGCAGTAAGTAGTTGAGGAATCTCTATAAGGATCTGAACTACACCCTCATCTCTGGTACATTAAAAGTCTGAGGCTTGTTTGAAGGGTAATTAATGACCAGTGAAAATAGTAGTAGGAAAAAATGTATCTAGTGGCATTTGTTTCCCCAATATATAACTTCCCAATGTTTCCTGATCTATAACACCTTTTCTTGGCCAGAACGACAACTCATTTTTCTACTCATTTGGAGGGCCACCTCCATGTTCAAAGAAGGGGCATTTTTTCAGCAGCGTTTTTATTTTTTCATGCTATTTCTAAATGGCAGAGGCCTTTGGGCCTAAAATAGCCCAACATCATGTTGCCCAAATTTTGCAACAATTCTGGAAGTACAATTTTGGACATTTTGGAAATAAGGTGGGTGGGTGGGTGGGTGAGGTTTAAGAATGGAAACAGGAGGGATTTGCCTCCCAAAGACCTCCCATTTCTAGTTCCACCCTTATTTTTGAAAACAACAAAAATGACTATAAAAATCCTAGTGTTTATAATCAGCCATTTTACTAACAAATACGATGCTAGCTGATAAATACATTATAATCAATATCTGTATTCCATATTTGGGGCAATGTAGGGACTGACATAGGCATGGAACAATTCTTTTAAAAATAGTTACATTTCAACAGTGTACACCAATATTACTGCCATTACTGATATTATAATCAGTATAAAGGCAAAACCAGGCAAATAAAATTAAGAAAAAGAAAAAGATCCTCAGTTACAGCTAAGACCACATGAGAGCTTCAATTAGAAATTCACTTGGTATGTTGTTTCAAACATTCCGTTCATATATAGGAGATAAAGTAGGGAAAGCATGCTGAGCATGACTTCTGGAATTCTTTCCAAACCCTTTACCAGCAGTGCCCAAATAGAGAGATCTGTATTTTCTTCTATGTAAGAAAGTAATATCTCTGTGTCTGCATTTCTGCTCTCTACTAATTTTCTTCTGTGTTTGTGCACATGTTGCCCTGTGAAGCATGGGGCAGGCTGCATACTCTCCACTGTGGGACACATGACCAGGAGGGCGGGGGGATGGAGGGGACTTAAACTGCAACAATCTGAGTAGGAGGCATTGGGGAATTTTTTCTATAATATTCTTCTCTGCAGCTCCCACCTGAATCTGGCCTGTTACTGAGCTGGATCTTTCTTTTGCTGGTTTTCCCATGATACCAACTTTAGTTCCATTCTGTTCAGTCCTCAGAGACTTAGTCTGCTGACAGTTGGACAACCACAGAGAGAACTGAGACTCTTTCCATAATTTATTTCCAACATTCCATTGGGTTTGAAAGAAAAAAAATGAAATGGGGAGGGGATGGAAGGAAAAAGGACGAGCATAATTGTTCTTACTTTTAAATGTAGGTTTTTCTCGAAACCGGAAAATAATCAGCAAAGCAACTTGAGCTATAACTGTTAACAAAAAAAGTGTCCGTACCTGAAAAAAAGTCAAAACCAGAATGATATACTTTAAAAATGAAAAATAAAAAGGTCAGCTACTATTAACTAATCTTCTCAGTTATTAAGAATTATATGAAAGGGAGCTACCTCTCTCCTCTCCCACAAAGGATTATGTGTGTTCATTTCAGGATTTTTGCTGTTGTGGTTTTTGTTTCCTAGAGACAATAAAAAAGCTAAGAAGGAAACAAAGACCAGAGAACACATTCTCTCCAGCAGCCAACACCGAGATAAGCAGGGATTAACACCAGACAAACAATCAAACAGAAAACAATATGCTAATCAAGGAACTGCCAAGGAGAAAACACTCCCCCACCAAAACTGGCAGGGCAAGCTACTGTTTATAAACATGGAGAAAACCCCACACTCACTTGCACTGATGATGTTACCTAGTTGGGTAATGAAACCTCTGCAAGCAAACAACCAAGCTCAGAGAGCACCAAGGATCCCACAGAAGGCAGTCTGTTTGATAACCAGGTCCAGAGCAATGTAGGGCCTTACAGGTGGCAACCAGTACCTTGAGATGCACACAGAAGCCAGTCAGCAGCCAACTGCAGCTCCCAAAGTAACAGGATCATCTGGGTATACTGGGATACAACCACCACTGCCCAGGCTACCACATTTTGTGCTAGCTATTTATCAAACTGATATGGCCACCCATCTCGACTGGATGGTGTGGCATAAAACCAACAATTAAAACATTATAAAATTAGATAAATCTAATTTAAGGTATGGAAGACACTGGATGGCGTAGATACACAAAAGGATCCAGGCTGAAATACATGAGGCAGTACTGAAAGTGTGTTGGCAATGGAAGATTGAGTTTCATTTGAGATCACTTCTACTTTTTAGCATTAAAATAAAATAAAATAAATTTGCAAGAGGGTTAAAATCAGAAAAGTTATACGTGATGCAGCCAACGCATGAGCTCCCTAGATTTTCTCTCAAACACATTTTGAGGGTTTTCCAGAAGGCCATAAGGGTTGGGGCTAACCTCACCTCAAGGGGGATGATGTTCTAAAGGGCAGGTGCCTCTATAATTTATGTATGTATGTATGTATGTATGTATGTTTGCTGCCTCAAGGCAGCAAACACACCTAATACAATATTAGTAATAACAACATAATAGTAATAAGGGCAGCCCCATGTAGACCACATTACACTAATTTTAATAGAATTACTAATACAGTGTGAGTAACTGTGAGCAGGGCTTTCCAATCCAGGAATGGCCCTCCTTGCTACAGCTACTATCTACTCTTCAAGCAGAAGCTATGAATTTAGGAGGACCCCCAGATTGCAAACAACCCCTGAATGCACAACCCCATCCAGAATCACGGATGGTATTCCTCCAAAATCGTTAGGCTCACAAATCCAAAGCTACTCTGCCTTGAAGAGAATCAGCCAGAGTTTGTTCATCCCCATCCAGACGTCACAGTCTCCAGCAATTCTACCGCATCATCTGTCTGGTCCAGGGCCAAGATGTATAGACAGATATATCTATCATTAGCATACTGTTGATACTGGACTCCTGCCAAGAAATGATCTACGCCAGCAGTTTCAAGTAGATCTTAAAGAAAAGTGGGAAGAGATCAGACTGCTGAAGTACTCCACAGAGTAGAGGCCTCCAGGCAGAACTCTCCTCTTCCACCACAACCAACTGGAACCACACACTCAGGAAGGTGGAGAACCGCTACAAAACTGCCTCCAATTCCAACCCTTTGGAGACAGTCCAAAAGGGTACTATGGTCGATAGCATCAAAAGCTCCTGGGAAGTCAAAAAGGACTACGAGGGCTATTCTCCTCTGATTCTGGTCTCTCAAAGGTCATCCACAAGTATATCAATGCAGTTTCCATGCTGTACCCTGGCCTGAAACCTGCGCCAAGGATCCAAATATTCCAATTCCTCTAGGGCTCTCTGGAGTCACAAGACCATTGCACTGTCTACAAACTTTCCTAGAAAAAGGTAAGAGATAGATATTCAAATCAGTCAAATCTTTTTGAGTAGGAAGCACACCACAGCCTTTTCAGAGGCAACAAGAACACTTCCTCACTCAAAGAAGCATTGATTACTGCCTGAATCCAACCTCCTGCCACTTCATAGGAGATCTTAACCAACCATCAGGGGCAGGGATTGAAATGGGAAGTGGAGGAGCTGACACTACAGAGAGCCCTTTAGCAGTATATTGCTTCATGAAAGATCAAAGTAATCAATATATAACTTATAATTACAAAACCACAAAGCTTAAAGAAGCAAACAGGACACATTACAATGGTATAAACTTCACATTTGGATCATTTTAAAAATAAATATGTTTTCAACATGAATAAATTAATATTTGAAAATCCAATCCAGACAAATTAGCTTGAGGAAAAAGCTAATAATTCATAAAATGTCCAAAAACAGTTTATAGAAAGCAGTGTATATCTGTCTATCCATCCATCCATCTATCCATCCATCTACTGTCTTATGGAATACTTACCCATATATAGTGGTCAGTAAGAAGAAGCCAAGATGCCAAAAGACCAAATTTAAGGGAAAGATCTTCCTGCATAGCAAACGTATGAAGCTGAGTAGCACTTTTACCACTGACATCCTAAAAACAGGATAAAAACAAGGATTACTAAACATTTCAGCACCCGCTCTCTGATTTTTTAGAACCCCTCATGCCTCCCCACCCAGATATTTGTTGATCAATCTGCCATTTTGTGCATAGAAGTACACATCAGGTTTCCAGCCCCCATCTTCCCACAGGTCTGCCGTTAATCAAACCATTCGTCCACCCAGCCCCAAACCTAGCAGTCCTTCTCTTACTCCCATCAGCCCATCCAGCCCCTGATCTTCCTATCCCACACCTGCCAATCTTCTCAGCACCTCCCTCTCTCCCAATAATCTGCCTACCCCACTGTTAGGTCTTCATTTAAAAACTAGTGGATCTATTTTTTTCTAAAATTCCCCATCCTAGTACCCCCCAAATTTCTTCATGCCTCTGTTCAGTTTGGGTACTCCTGTTCTAAAGTGTATGATAGGAAAGCAACTAATAACTATTAGTAAAATGTCTAGTAGCATATACAAGCAAGGTATATTCTAATTGCAGACTTGCATATTTAAGGATCCTGTTATTCACTGCTGAAATACTTTATAGCAGTCCTCACTGTAGCATTTAATTTTGGTCATACAGTTGAATGCCCCATTCTGCTGTTAAGTAATTGATATAATACAAGTAATGGTTTACACTTTCTTTCTCATTCTTTTCCAGAACAGCAGGTTCCCCAACTGTTTTGGGATAGTAGAAGCATTTGAAATTTGAAAGTGTATTGAAGATATTGTCATAAAATGCCTGCCAAGGTGAGCCTGGCCAGTCAGAAAACATCCATTCACCAGAAGGCACACTGGTGAGGCTGCTGTCATCTACCTACGTGAATCTCCCATCACCACCCCCACCACCACCATTTCTCCTTTTGTGTGATACACAGACTTCTGAGAAAGCTCTGCAGTATATCGGGGGCATTTTTATTTTGGAAACAGAAAATTATACTTGAGGTTAGTGCTCTGCAGCACGCTAGCTTCCCATTTAATTTTTCACATTAAGATCATTTTAAAAATAATAAATAAAATGAAGCATGCTATGGAGCCTGATGGGTGCTTAGAACATCTGTGGATATGCTGGTACCTGTGGAGACCATGTTGTTGAAACATAAACTGTCCTTATGTTATCCCTACTGCTCCCACTTATAGAAGCTGGAAAATAATAATATCCCCAAGGTTACCCATTGAGTAAGTAGAGATTCTACCAAATGCATTTTTCAGTAAAGCTCTTAAATATATGATAGAATGAAGAGCAACAGCTGAGAGCTCACCTGAACAGTCACAGCTATTTGATGAAATCCTTGACTGTAGTTTTGGGGTGCCCATTTCAGGACAAAGAGAGATTCAGACACCTGAACAGCATCTCCAAGATAAAATCCATCAATCATGACCTTGACAAACTTGATAGGATAAGGTGAGAAGGCCAAAATTCTAAGTAGAAGAATACAGTGGGATTTATTAATGGTATCTCAGATACACTTAAGTTAAAAGCCACTATCTGTAGTGTAATGCTATTTGAGGAAAACATATCACCCTCACTGAAGTATTTACAACGATTTACCATCTCATTATAGTCCTGACTGTGGTAAAGATAGGATAGAATGGTTTTGTTTGGAAAACCAATGTAAAATAAAAATGCAGTTAGTAACAGCAGTGTAGTAAAAGAGGAATGCAGGGGAACATAACTCCAGGATTTTTTCCAGCCATTGCTTACTAGTATAATCTTCACATTCTGACCGATAAACGAGGTGATAAAAATAATCTCAAATTTTATTATTGTTCGAGATATCAATATAGGGTATGGAAAGGACTGAAATTTCTTTTTTTAATGGCATTCCTCTCTGAATTAACAACATAAGCGGTAGTACTTTTTTGCAAGACTGTTTACATTCAATTAAATGAACTTCTTTTGTTAAAGTTCAGCTTCTTTTACAAGTCAAACCTCTGCAGCCAGAAGCAAGCACCAAAAGAATCTACCTATGCCTTTAATTACAGATACTGATTCAAATTATGCAAGTAGTTCTCTCCTTTGCAGTGTGTGTGGTGTGAGAGAGAGAACAAAGTGACCACACATACAGGGTTTGGATTTATTTTTTACTTAACATGCTGTGTAAACCCAGCCAGTTATAATTTATTCAGTATATTGTGGAAAAACAAATCAGGGCTCAGCATGTGGCATAAACCTAGTCACTGCCCATGGTTACACATGTTAAGTCATATTGTATTTAATTGAGTATGTCATTTGAACCCAGACTATGGGTAAAATTGCAGCTAAGGCAAAACATGATAACCATAGCCTGTAATAATGGTTTAATTCTGGTTAGTTTGCCCTAACCATGGTCTCAGTATGTTGTCCAAAACTAGATCTTCTGTTGCTGGACAAAGCAACTGCCACTATTGTAAACCGCCCAGAGTCACTTCCTTGTGAGATGGGCAGTCTCAATTTGAATGAATGAATGAATGAATGAATGAATGAATGAATGAATGAATGAATGAGCGAATGAGCCAGAAAAAAGGGTGAGTTACTAGAGCACTGACAAAGCAAAGCTGCTCCAGAAGAAACATCTCTGTTGTTTCACTATCTTTTTCATCGTCCACAGCGCACCAGGAATTAATTGGGGGCATAAAGCGTTCAACTATTCCCTCTTTCCCCCATCCCCCATGATACTTCCTGTACTTATTGAGCCACCATGCTTTCTCTATTTTTTACATTTAAATTTTTAAAAGCATCACACAAGCAGTGACAAAGGTGGCTGAGATATTCAGCCCTTGCAGCAAAGATAATGGGGGCAGCTGCAAGAGTGATTAACTTGACTGTCTATAAGATGACTGGCAGGCTAGCCCCCGAGCCATTGCTAATATTTCTATAACACTTCCAAATGTTTCCAAGCACATAAGTTACCTAATATGGGTAGAATGAAGTATTCGCTGTAGTGGTTCGTGAGCATAGCTACTATAAAGGTACGATTTAGGGTTGGTGACAAGAACTACAGGCCATTCTTCAAACTTCAAGTCAGCAAAACTGAAGAGATCATGATCGAAAGCAAGAATCCGGTACCTGATGTTCAATAATTAAAATAATAACAGTTTAGTTAACAAGGAACATCTTAAACAATAGAAGCCCATTATTAAAATTGCCTTTGCATTGGACATTTACTTACTTCCTATTTTCCATCCAGTCTCCCAACTCCAGTTCTAAAGTGCCATCAGGATGACGAGTATGAAGGACCGGCATCAGACCATTCAATGTATGGAAATGCCCACACAAATAAACTAAGGCAAAACTAATCAAAGCAAAATATATCATTACTATATAGCATATAATATCTTTATTCTGGAATTCGACCATTGTAAAGGTTAAAAAAAAGAAACCATGAGATTAGCAACTATAATAAAAAACAGATTATGTCTAATGATTGAAAGGAGAGAGACTACATAATTAAAAGATGGGGAAATCAAAGCTGCAAATGAATCCAAAGTTCATACTATGCTATCTAAAAAACTGAAAAGAATAAATGGTGCCAACAAAAGCTGTAAAATTGAGTGGAGACAAATAACCTCAGCGTAGATCTAAGCTACATCGAGCCTCTGACTGGCTTCATCTGGCAGTCAATACTCGGCAGGTTTTGCACACAATTGCTCAGAACCTGGCAACATTATAAGTTATGAAGGGGTTGATGTCAAAGAATAGTAGAGAGATGTCACATTGGTCTGTACTGCCTTGTAACCTGATGAATAACAGTCTCTGTAAAATGAGCAGGAGAGAAGACTGTGCTCAGTGGTTTTCATTTGCCCATTACAGGAGCATATATGTCTTAGGGAAGGGGATCTTCTTATACCTTTTGTTTAACACAGCCAAGGGAAGGGCCTTGCAACAAGCAGAATTATTATTGTTAATTTTAGAAACATTAGCTCCTAGCCAATTAACAAGGTGATCCTAACAATATTTACATATTTCTTGTTATGCATTAATACAAAATTAATTTTTTATTTTAAAAAGCAGGAAGTTAAGCGATTCATATATTTCCACACAAAAAAAAAAATTAGTACCGCATGGCCACTCGTATTCCTGGAGATGCAGAGATGATTGATGAGGTAGGATAGTGACCAAACAAAATTGTATGATTACTCGCGTGACTTTCTGAGATCAGTGCAGACAACTCTTCCATTTTATTCTGAAATGAAAAAGTTCAAGAGTTTTAACAGTACACTGACTACCAACAGTCAACATGTGCATGCAATTTTTAAACACAATATTAAAGTAATACCAGAAGCCAGTGAACCTCTTTAAAGCCCTGGTTACAAATAAAGTTAAATAAAGATCTCCAAATGGCTCCCATTTAACAGTAAAATAAGACATATTTTATTTTTATATCCCCCAACAAACACAGGAGGAGTACAATGACAATGACAATTTCTCACATGGCTGTCAAGAAATCCCAGAGAAGGCAGGAAAAAAGTAAAAGAAAATCCCCAAATGCTCAAGTGAAATACCAAGCTCACAGTAAATAACAGATAGGATTACATGTACTCCAAAAGGTTTCTTGACAAATAAGAAATCAGTGCCGCAAATTGAAATGGGTGTTAATTTCAGTGACTCAATGAAGACCAGCGTTTCTCAACCTTAGCAACTTTAAGATGAGTGGACTTCAACTTCCAGAATTCCCCAGGCAGATGTTACCTGGCTAGGTAATATCTTCAGTGCTAGAATGGAGTAGGGTTTGCTCTCTATTTATATACATCCAACAGTTTGGGGTGAGGTATCACCAGTATACTGATGACACCCAGCTTTATATCTCCACCCCAGGCTGCTTGAGTGATGCCGTGGACATCCTGTCCCAGTGTCTGGAGGCTGTGGGGGCTTGGATGGGGTGCAACAGGCTTCAGCTCAACCCAAGCAAGACTGAGTGGCTTTGGGTGTTTCAACATTCTGATCTCAAGGACTTTCCATCACTGGCCTTGGATGAGGTGGCATAGCCTCAGATAGACCCAGTACACAATCTGGAGGTCCTCCTGCATGAAGAGCAGGTGGCAGCCATGGGTAGGAGGGCCTTTGCACACCTTTGGGTTGTGCACCCATTCTAGACTGGGAAGCCCTGCTCACTGTCACTCATGCCCTCCCATCTGGACCACTGCAATACGCTGTACGTGAGGCTGCCCTCGAAGAACATTTGGAAGCTTCAACTGGTGCAGAATGCAGCAGCATGGGTATTAAATGGCGCCGGTTATTTGGCGTATGTAACACCTCTACTCCATAAGCTGCTTTGGTTGCCAGTATGCTTCTGAGTGCAATTCAAGGTGCTGGTTGTCACCTTGAAAGCCCTTCATGGTTTGGGACTGGGTTACTTGAGGGATCTTCTCTCCCCAGTTGCTTCTACCCATCCGATCTGGTCAGGCAGGATTAGCATGCTTCGTGTCCGCTGGCTAAGGAATACCGGTTGATGGGGCCTAGAAGACGTGCCTTTTCTGCTGTAGCGTCTCCCTTATGCAACATTCTCCCTCTGGAGATCAGGATGGCCCCAACCCTGCTGGCTTTTCGTAAGTCCTTAAAGACCTGCCTCTGTGCCTGGGCCCCGGAGTATGTCCAGAGACCATTTTCATGATTAATTGAGTCATTACGATGGATGCTTTATTCTCAGCCGCTATATGTTTTAATGTTTGTATTATTTTAATTGTTTTTATTTTTTAAATTTTGTTCACTGCCCAGAGTTACTTGATGAGATGGGTGGCCTAATTAATTAATTAATTAAATATAAAATTGTACTGATTTATATATAATAGCAAAAATAAAGCTATAACTCCAGTCTATCCTTGAAATGTACAAATACAGATAATACTGTATCCAAAAATGCTATGTTTCCCCTAGATTTTTTTGATTATCACTGACAGAATCTGTTAAGGAAATACCTAGCAGAATCTTGGACTTGACAGAGAACTAATAATAATTTAGGATAATTAGATGATGCCCCTCATGTAGAACCGAGCAGTTGTAGAAGATTGTTTCGTGACCAGAGAAGGGATAGAGGAGCATTTTTTTTCTCCTTTGCAGCTAATGAATCCAATTAGGTCTGTGTGCATAGAAACAATTGCATCAGTGGAAGTGGCTTGTGGGCTAATTGATTTTGCCCCCCCCCCGTCATCTTGAATGTTTTTAGTATTTTAGTATTTATGTAGAGGGTTTGTTTTACAGTTTGACTTTTAATGGATTAATTAATTTTAATTATCTATGTGGTATTTTTTAATTGTTCATGGGTCTTTGGTCTTAAGAGTCACCCGTTGGGGGAGATGGGTGGCTTACAAATTTAATTAATTAATAAATAAATAATAAACGATAGTAAAGAATGGATGTTTTGCTAGAGACCTGAATTATGCAAAACATAATTGAAATCTTCATTGGTCCTTTGTTCCGTAGGAAACTAAATCTCACCAAATCTTTGAAGCTGCTCAGTGTATATAAAACTCCACAGGAAACTAAATCCACTGTCCCTTTGAAAATGCTCACTGTTCAGAGAGATTAGGTACACCAACATTATGATTAATAAAAGGCCATATTACATATCTCAAAGACTAAAAGTGGGAAGAAACAGTGACAAATATATAATACATGTGAATACTAACACACAGCTGGTCTCAAAATTTTTCTGATCTTATAATTTGATAAAATATTCATTGTTTTTTTTTAACATTACCGCATTTAATATTCCATAAAAATTGTAGGGTCTCTTGGGACCTGGACTAAGACTTGCATCCACACAAATGAAAGAATATTTTCCAAAAGGTGTGCTATGGACATAATGGAAGGAGCCATCTTTCTGCCATGCAGAATATTTCCTGCCAAAGAAAATGTTTTATTTTAAGAAAAATCTAATCAAAAGGAGAAGTATGTTATACTAGAAGTCTGCGAGGATAACAGAGATGTTAACACAGATGCATTTGTGCTCAGTTCATCACCATCCTGTAGTTGGCCAATAAAATTCTTTGACTTCAATTTTAAAGCTTGAATTTTCTCATTCTTTCCTTCAAAGGATTAAGATAAAGAAATACAGCTATCCAACAGCAGCAGGAAGAAAAAAAGAGCAATATATAGTAGCTAAGACAAAGCCTAGGCTACCTGTAACTGATCTTTAAATGCTTAATTGATAAAATACTTTAAGAGTCAGCTTCTCAGTACATATACATCTTGTTTAAACAGAAATTTCTATCCACCATATACCCAAACTTCCTTCTGGACTGCTGAAATAATCATAACATGCTGACATACCTGTAGTAATTGCGAACACTCTCCAGGCTAGGAATGTTGAATGTATCTGCAATGAAAATAACAAACATTTTGATCCACTTTCATGATAAAGCTAGGAATAAAAAAAGGAGTCCAGATTTTAAAAACTCAGAGGATGGCTGGAGAGGAAAGCAAGATTCATTGGGCAAAACAAATGCTAAGATGCTTATTGGGAAACTAAAATTATATTATTTAAGAAAAATCACAACAGGAGAGGCAAAATAAAATTACCACAGAAGCTAAAAAGTATTGTCTACATAAAAAGTATTGCCTTAACTTTAAAAAATTGTATTTATACTTTCCAGGCAAAGTGATTCCAGACAAGACATTTTTTAAAATAAGATACGGTATATAATATTTTAAATAATTTATATAATATCAAAGTATTAGCAATAAGGTTACATGAGGGGTTATGACAGTCTATCATTTCCTAATGATAAATACAAAATTAGAATCCCATGTCTAAAGTCTTGCCTCTCTCTTACCATGATTTCCTTTTATATCTATCCACTTGGTTTTCTCCATGACCTTAGATCTTTTTAGGATTGTCTGGTAAGTTTGCCACTCCACCTCAAACTGATCAGACCCAAGTTTATCCTTTGTTTTGGAATCAGTCAAGTCACCTGTTTAGTGAATAGAGAAGAGCTACTGAACTCAATGAACAATAGAAGAATGCGGAGTAAGCAAAATGTTGGCGACAATAAGCTACTGTATTTAGAAATCAAGCTTGACACCTACTGCAGCATACTAGCCTTATTACAACGGTATGTTTTATTTTAATTTACAGAAAATGTCAGTATCAGGGTTCTACACCTTTTTACATACTGTTTATATTCCACAGCATTTGCCAAAATCTTGCTTCGAACACACTACCTGGCTCTTCCTCCTAGCCAACATAACTAATAAATCATAGACAATTCCATAAATGCTTTCACTGGGAAATTGTCTGAACCAGGGAATCGGCTTTGTCCTAAAAGAACAAGGCAGAGAAAGAAGCTTGGTTTGTTAATCAGCCTCTAACCCAAAGCTGACTGTGAATGAAGTCCTTTAATTTTAATTCTATTAGCTAGTATAGGAGTGGGGCACAATGTCATACTGCACTGTAGACAAGTATGCAGCAGGGCAGTCTGACCCTCCATCCAAACCTAGATGGCCTACCAGCTGCTGCCAAAGATTCCTTAGAAATGGTTGCATGTACAGTTATTCAGAGACTTTCCACACTACCAAAAAGACTACCTATCATCTAATATACTACAAGATCAGCAAGAAGTGCTGGTGACTCTGATCAACTAGTCTACCTCTCCTTTCTTACCCAGTTGCATGTTACCTGTAGTGGTGCTTATATGTATGTAGATTAGTGGGCTAACAGTCCAAAGTAAGTTTCACTCTTTTAACTAGGCCTTGACTTTGAGGTCAGCAAAAAATAACAATATCTATTTATTTATGAGGTGTTTCTTGAAAGATCCCAAGTAGGCTAATATTAATTTTAAAAAGTTAGTTATTCAACATGTCTCTCTCTCTCTGTGTATGCATGTGTATGCATGTATGTATATATATATATACACACGTCTGTGTGCGTGTATAATAAAATGATGAATAAGAATGTCAAACAATGTCAATAAAACAATTTGACAAACACTTTGTTAGGAAAAGAAAAAAAGTCTAGAGTCAGTCTCCTAAATATCCAAGCAAAGACAGCCAGTCTTTCCACTCCAGACAAGACATTTTGTTGGATATATCATGACTGACAAAGCTCCTCATTTGGTGCCATTCAGGCTTCTTCAAAGGGTAAGGGATCTTAACAGAACCTTTCAAACAAATGTTTAGACACAAGATAAATCATCTGAGGGGGACTCACTGACATGTCCATATAGTTTTGGGGGATATTACTTCAACTTCACAGTCTAGCTTACAGTCATGGACTTTCCTGGTGGTTTCCCATCCAAGCATTAACCAGGTCCAACAGCCCTGTTTAAGTTTTTGAAATCAGTCTATGTCAGCTGATTGCTGTCAAAGGACGAAGTCTAGACAAATAGACTGTATATTTGTTTTTGTCTTATGGACAAATATGGACTAAAGCAAATATGCAACTGGGAAAGTGGCAGAAGGAGGAGGAGAGGAACAGTTTCTGATATTTCATGTCAAGCGTTTGAAGATTCTCTCTAATGTTTAGACCTTATGTTACCACCATTTAGTGGCACGGCTTGTTTGTTTTTTTTAATTTCAGAGCCAATCCTACCAAACAAGTATCCAGCACTGGAGCATATTCCACCAAAAAATTAGAGTTAGAGTTTATAAAAAATGGAACAAAAAGAAATAACTCACCTGTGACTAAAGTAAGAGCAGGTTTAATTATGGGAATTGTTTCCTTACAGAACTTCTCAAAATCAGAAATTCGACTGGGACTCAGAAACCTACTGATATGCACGTCTGATACCTGCAAGAAACATACAAAATAATAACAGGCTGACATTAAAAAACAGACTATTTAGGAACTGTTTACAGAAACAGTTGTATATCAGAAAGGTATACAAAAAGGTGTTAACTCAAAAAACCTTGACTCCAAACAATAATAGCTTAATTTCACAACTAGCCCTTTTAGATGACTCACAGTTTCCTGAACAGACAAGGAAACACATCTTTAAAATTAATGTACTATATGGGAAAGCAGAAATCAGCAGCTCATTTTACAGGGTGGTTGTTTTTTTTCCTGAAAAATGAATGTACAGCATCACCAAACAGCCTACAGTGGTACAATTAACTTTTCTATCTGACAATGTAGTTCCATTAACAGCTGGCTCAATCCAGCAAGTTGGAAAAGTGACTTCCTACTTGAGTTCCAAAAGTGATTGGAACTAGTCATTTCCTATTCTTTAATTACTCCACAATAGTTTCTTTTTTTTCCCTCTACTTTTATCATTTTTTCTCTATTCTTCTGAATCTGGGGGAAAAAGAAAATCAGTACCTGAAACAGAACGTAATTCTGGCTAGTCACGTACGATTCTCTATCAAAAGTAAAATAGCTTTCTAGTGGTTCCGAGCAATTGAAGAGAAAGTAACGCTGTCGTTTTTCCCGCTC